TGTTGCTGCACCTCAGTATGTTGCCCGGCCATCAAGACACCCTAAAAGGCGAGCACCAACACCGCAAAATATCCACCAACCTCCACAAAATTTTCAAATACCCTATAACCCACATCCAACCAGGGGTATAGAAGAGGACAAAGGCTGAAAGATAGTTTTACACCAATAGGAGAATCCTATGCAAGCTTGTTTGAGAAATTAAAGCAGTATGACATAATTGCACCTATTCCTCCAAATCATGTGGACCCCAGTGCAAGAAGCTTTGACCCTTCTAAAAGGTATGAATACCATTCCAATGCCCAGGGGCACAATGTTGAAAGCTGTCGGGATTTGAAAAGAGAAATAGAAAGGATGATCCAGGAAAACTTGATTGTGATCCAAGAGAGTGACACCCAAAATATCGCGCATAATCCTTTACCTGCACATCACGATGCACACTTTGTGGGGATGATGCCTGGTGACATAGAGTATGAGAATCCTCTCGGGAACTTGCTAACTGAAGTTAATGATGTTGAAATTGGAGAAGGCTCTACTGATTTTGATGAGCAAATTTGTGGCTAAATGTCAAACCTAGCAATTGAAAAGTCATTCCCTCCTCAATAGGAAGGAATCTTGGTAGCTTGTTTTGATGTTTTTTCTATTATCTGGGTTATTTCAGGGTTGTGATCCAGATTTTATTTGTTTTATTGAGTCAAACCCTTCTATCCCTCCATTCTGTTTGTGAGTCTTGTCTGTTTGTTCTGTTGCTATTTTCATTATTCGGGTTATTTTAGGGTTGTAACTCGTATTTTGGGTTGCTTGTTTAGTTGTAAAACCCTTTCATCCTTTACTCAATAAAATACAGTTTGTCCTTTTGTGTCACTCTGTTCCTAATTCTTTTGTCTCTAGTTCTAATGACATGACATGCATGCGGAAATTTTGGCCAGATTGATTTAATCTGGAATTGGATAACTAAAAAAAATAAAAAATACATTTGAGGATGAATAAAGAGTTGGAATACTTTGGAACTAAGGTCGAGTAAAATTCACTTTCAAATCATTATGAAGATCGGACTTGAGGATGTTTAATCAATTGAAGTTTGTTTGAAAGTTTGTCACTAAGGGATGAAAAAATGTCTTGTGACCATGACACACCAAGAAGACAGACATGTTCGTCAATGCTGTGATCGCAAAAAGATACCATGTTTGATGTTCTCGAGGTTGGGAGACCCCTTTTCTGCTACCCAAACACTTTATATCCTTTGCTACCCCTTTTGGGTCTGTGTTATTTTCTTTGACTACCCTCTTTTGGAATCAAGTTTAGAGTAAAAAAAAAAAGAAAAAAATCCATGTCCCAAGAGTACAAACTGGGGCAATTCTTAGAAAGTTCAGAAAAAAAAAAGAAAAGATTTGTCAAAGGTTCATGCCCTAAAAAATAGGAGCTGGGGCAACTTGTTTTGAAAACAAAAGAAAAGAAAGAAAAAAAGAAAAGAAAAAAACAACAGAAAGAAAAATGATTTTTTTTAGTTAGGTCAGATGTTTGAACTACGTTCGACCTGATTCCTTAAAAAAGGATACGTAGGCAGCCTCACGGTTCGGTCCAACAAATAAGAATTTAGAAAAAAAAGAATAAAGAAAAAAAAAATTCAAAAAAAATTCCCAGTATCTGAAACTGGGGCAAAGATTTTATTTTATTTTTGAAAGAGTCGATTCCTAGAGTTGTAAGTCTACAACCCCATCATTTTGAGTCTACTTCGAGCCTTCATGCCGACCCTTCTTTCTAACCCTATCCAAAAACCTTCCCAATAAGACCTCTTGATAAGCTTTCAAGAATGCCAAGAGACGCATGTAATGAGAAACAGTTTTTACGCGACATGAAACACTGTCAAGTTGCTCACACAAGAAGGCAAAAGAAAAAGAAAGAAAAAATGAGAGAGTCTTACTAGTGAAAACCCTCACGGGCACTGTAAGGCGACGGTAAGAAGAGATAAATAAATGAGAGAGACTTGTTGGTGAAAATCCCTCGGGGCACCACTAGTTGAAAGTGAGTCCTGAAGTTTATGCAAATAATTGGCACAAACAATCCCGACTTCAAAGGTCATAAGAATAGTAAACGGGAAGATTGGATTAGTTTGATAGATCAGACCGTTAAGTCCAAAATGCATGTCGTGATCATTAAGGCTAGTTAGCGCAAAATAAAATGAAAAAAAAACTCTTCCCTCTTTCCTTCCCGACAGGGGCATTTTTTGTTGATAATGTTTTTTTGCATCATTGTGTCCCTTCACTCTAAGTCAGTCCTTGTCAAAACAAGCAAGAAAAGATTTCAAAATCTGCTACCAGCTTTTCAGTTGCACAAAGTAAATTTGGCCGACATACTCAGTTGTCACCGTCAATAAACCTTGAGGATTCATGCAAAGGCTTCCCTAAAAGACTCTTGTCAGCCTACTTGGCGCAAACAAAGATAACTTGTGATTCTTTCTGACAGACAAATTGCTCAAAACGCAGGAAGTCATTCAAGATATCAGAGAAGGCCACCTAAGAAAAGATCTCCAGTTGGGATAAGGCTGATTGAGCCACAAATATAAATGGTACTGGGTGTGAAATAATTAGGGTTGATGCAGAGCAAAAGTTTCTTGAAACCGACTCAAGCTGATTGAGTAGAAGCCAAGCTGCCCAAGACTCAAGGCCACAAACCGACTACCATTTTTAAAATTGACATTTTTTTTTGTGTGAAACAGGAACAAAGCAGTGCAAGGAAATTGGTTCAAGAAGAAAAAGAAAAAAAAAGAGAAGGAAAAGAAAAGAAGAGAAGAGACTACAAAGGGAAGTTTCTCAAATCTTTGCCTTTATTTGTCTTGCTATTGTGCATAAAATCTTGCCGTTGGTCTTCACATTTTTCCTCCAAGGATAAAAAGTCCTATTTTGATGGATTTTCCTCCCAATATAAATCTTAGTCTGATGAATCTTTCTCCTAAGATAGAAAACCTAGTCTGATGAACTTTCTCCTAGGATAGATGTCTTAGTCTGATGAATTTTTCTCCTAAGATGGAAAACCTAGTCTGATGAACTTTCTCCTAGGATTAAAATCTTAGTCTGATGAATTTTTCTCCTAAGATAGAAGACCTAGTCTGATGAACTTTCTCCTAGGATAGAAATCTTAGTCTGATGAATCTTTCTCCCAAGATAATAAAAAGAGGACCATTTTGATGAACTTTCTCCTAGGATCAAAATCTTAGTCTGATGAATTTTTCTCCTAGGATAAACATCTTAGTCAGATGAATCTTTCTACTAAGATACTAAAAACAAAAACAAAAAAGAAGAGAGAAAAAAGGACCTAGTCTGATGAATTTTCTCCTAGGATAAACGTCTTAGTCTGATGAATCTTTCTCCTAAGATAGAAAACCTAGTCTGACGAATTTTCTCCTAGGATAATTTAAAAAAAAAGGAAGTCTGGATTTGAAAAAAAAGGGTCAATTTTTAGTTTTCTTAAGTAATCGATGTTTAGTTTTCTTGTAATCAGGGGCCCCGCCTGGAGAATAGGGTCAGTCTTTACTTTAGTAAACCTTAGTTTACAGTTTTCCGCAAGCTCAATCACTTTTAGGAAACACACTTCCTAGTTTGGTTCATTCAGGTTTTATTTTTAGCAGACGCATTTGCTAGTCAAAGTTTTTGGTTTTACTCATAGGAGACGCACATCTTGGTCTAGTCATTAGTTTACTCTCATCATTACATCAATAGTATAAGTGGTTTATAATATTGCTAATAACTCACAAATCCTCTTAGTGCAAATGAGGCATAAAATTTTGTTTGTTTTGTTTGTTTTGATGAAATCAAGCACCCACCTGGAGAACAAAGGGAGGAAGACACAAGTTCAAAGGAAATCGGATCAAGTTCGGCAATCAGGCGCCCACCTAGAGAACAAGGGAAGACAACTCAAGTTTCAAGGGAAAGCAGTTTCGAAGGAAGACAACTCAAGTTTCAAGGGAAAGCAGTTTCGAAGGAAGACAGTTCAAGTTTCAAGGGAAAACAATGTCAAGTAATAGGAGAAGACGGTTCAAGTTCAGCAATCAGGCGCCCACCTGGAAAAAAAAAAGGGGAATTCAGTTTAGAATGAAATTTAGGTCAGCAACAAAAGAAGCTCGCGTCAAGAATGCGAGCCAGCAGTCCAAGATGATCAACAAAAGTTAGTCACAATCCAGAATAAAAAGAAAAAAAAAACAAAAAGAAAAACAAGAAGCCAAATGCAGAAGTTAATGAAAGATGTGAGCTGCTCAAGACAGGGCTGAGGTCACAAGCTCTGCATGTCCCGTCTTGGTTTGAAAAGCTGAAGAAGATTGAACCAATACCTGCGGCTAACAGGCATCACGATTCAGATTAGGGTCCACATGAAGAACTAACCAAGACTCAAGATCAAGCTTCAGAAGACTCATAGATAGGAATCTTGTAACTCGTAGCTGATAGGCTTAGTCAGTCTTTTTCATTTTTGATTTTGATGTAATAACGGGACAGCAGACTGGAACCTTGACGGCACCCTCAATCGGCTCTCCACCTCGGCATACTCCATCATCTCACTCACTTCTGAACTACACGTGGCCTGATTCCTTTATAGCCAAGGATATGTAGGCAGCTTAGATACCAGGGCTCGGTCACATTCCGCTTTTCTCTTAATTTTGGTCTCCTTAAATAAGGGTCGGGTCAAAAAACTTGTCTAGTCGTTCTTTGCCCGAAAACTCTTCCCGTTTCCAGTCAAAGAGGGGCACCTGTAGACATGTGATTTTTGACCCTCTCCAAGATTTTTCATATTTTAGCATGTAAATATTTAATTTAGGCTTAATATAGCTATTTCAGCTAATTTTTACTCTGTTACTCTATTTTATTACAAGAAAAATAAAAATTACAAAATTTGTTCCATTAATGTTTTGTAGTCATTTTTAATCTTGAAAAAAATACCAAAAAAATAGCTTTGTTTTAACGGTCAGTCTTATTTTAATAATTATTTTTACTTAAGTAGGGCTAATTAATATTTTTGATAATATTTCTATGTGGATAAATTTTTAGTTAATTAAGCTAATTTTAAGCATAGCTAGTCATAAAGGCCCAAGTTTCTAGCCCATTCCTTAAGTCCAATACCCAATAACCATTAAGCTAACCCTAGGGACCCTTCTAGACTCTTCTTTGGAATAAAAAATAAATGAAGAGACCCTAAGGACCTAAGAGCAATTAACACAAAAATACACATTTAGACCTAGACCTATATAATAGGGGTAACACCTATCAGCTAAGGGGGAGGAGAGCGCCTAAAAGATCTAGAAAAAGAAAAGGCGCTTGAGTAAATAAGTCAGCGACAGAGAACCAAAACGACCCCCACCCCCTGTACAGAAGCTTCACCTTTTTCACCTAGCGAGAACCAGCTTCAGCCGCCGGCGATTCAGCCCCAAACTCGCCGGAGAAACAGCCATCAACGGCGTTCCAATAGCCCTCCACCGTTCTGCTTCTTCAACCTTCCAATTACCCCTCCTCTGAAAAAACACAGTAGAATACACAACGACCACCCTCATCTCTCATCTTTGTCACTCTCTCAACAATATAACACACAAACATAATAAGAAGAGTAAGGAAGTTGCGCAACAGATTATGGCTATAAACTAAGGCTTGAAGCTGGTTGAATCGCCGATTGAGGGAGTTCATCCGAGGTCCGGGTGCAGTTCCGGTTTGTCGATTTTCTGTTGATTGCAAAAATCAAATCCGAATCTCTTTAGTAAAACCTTTTAAGGTCTGTTTCCTTGTTTCATTGGGTTTTTATTTAATTCATGAATCTTAGGACTTTTTTTTGGAGGAATAATTTTGTGCTTGAATGATTGTTATTCTGAGTCTTCTTTATATGTTATCCTAACGGATTCACGAGACTAATTTGAGTAGATAATTTGGTTTAATAGTGATTATTCTCTGTTAGGTATTAATACTATTAAAATTTTGAATTCTTAACGTTAAATGAATGTTGGTTTATGCTTTAAATGAAACTTGCTTAGATGTTCTGCTCTTTGATTGATATTTATATATATAGTTTTTAATTCCATGTACGCATATTGGGTAAATAGAAACTTTATGATCTCTAGTTCGCTAGTAAGTATGGTTTACTCGATGGCTTCGAGTTCGTTGCTTTTGAGCTGAATGTTTTGATTATCTTAGTGATACATGTTTCATATCCTAGTTGTTTTAAGAATTAATAACTTTTGAACGTGAATAACCATCGCGATTATGGGTACGGTTCCCGTGACGTAGTTACGATGCTTAATTTCCCAAATTCGGGTGTGCATTTCATGTAACCCGATTATAACAACTTCAAATAATAAAACCCTTTGAAATAATTTGAGGCGTGTCATATTAGGCAAGATGTAATTTATGGCCCTCAAAAGTTTAGTTCAAACATCCTTTGAAATTAGAATCGAGGTGTGCCATTAGTTGAATCTTCCATGGCCCTCGCAAACTTGAAAGTGTGTAGTTGCTTTAGGCGCGCTATTTAAAAAAATTAATTTCCTAAACTCGGGTGTGCATTTATGTGACCCAAATCTAAATCTCAACAATATTAGATAAAATATGTCGAGGACCGCGGGTGCATTTATGTGACATAGTTCAAGACATGTTTTTAATAATGTTTCCCAAAAATAATTCATTAAAAACTGCACCATAGGTTAAACATGTACTAAAATCAGATAATAGGCCAATTATAACAGTTGAGCGACCGTGCTAGAACCACAGAATCCGGGAATGCCTTACACCTTCTCCCGGGTTAACAGAATTCCTTACCCGAATCTCTGTGTTCACAGACTGTAAAACAAAGTCAATCTTTTCCTCGATTAGGGATTTGAACTGGTGACTTGGGACGCCATAAAATTATCCCAAGTGGCGACTCTGAATTTAATAAATAAATAATCCTGTTTCGATTGTCACTTTAAGTTGGAAAAAACTCCCTTGTACCCCTTCCGGGGTAGGATAAAGGAGGTGTGACACGTCCTATTTGGGAAATACTATTTTACCTGTACCCAGTTTTTAAAATTTATTAGTTTGTACCTAATATTGATAAATTTCAGACAAAAAGCCTAGCTCTCATTTTTTCTTTGGTTGCCCTAACTCTTCCGCTTCTTCTTTTTCTCCTTTTTCTTCTCCTAATTTATGTCATCAAAACCTCAAATTTATTATACCAATTGCGTTGAATAAGATTCAATCATAACCATAAACTTTTGCTTTGTTTTTTTCTTTTTTGAAGATGCTTTTTTTCCTTTATTGTTGGTTCCCATTAGATGATTTTTCAACTTCGACTTATTTTTTTCTTGAAATTTCAACTGAATAAGTTTAATTTCTAGGGTTTCAATGAAAGATTCCGAATGGATTCTTGTAAAAGAACCAACCAACGGAGATATATGAAATCCATACTTTAACAATGCTGGAGAAAGTTTGTTGTCTCTTGAGATAAGGTTCCATGACTCACCTAAGCATTGGACGATATTCTTCCGATTGGTAATGGGCGTCTTTGGTGCTACGGTTTGGGGATATTCCTTTGAGATTCTCTATTTTAACTGTAAGCTTATTTCCTTCCGGCTTTCTTACATGTATCTTTAATCTATTAAATATGATTATTTGTGATATAGAATGTGAGCAAGATAGAGTAACCTTCAGTCAAAAATATTTGAAGTTTGGCCTTGCCAAGATCACACTTCAGGCAAAAAAGTTCCAAGTTCATTCTAACCAAGACTACAACTTTAGTAAAAAAAATATTCAAAGTTTGTCCTTGCCAAAGCCATAACTTCAACCAAAAATGTCTGAAGTTGGCCTTGGCATGGCAGGTCAAGCTTCAGGCAAAAATGTATGAAGTTTGGACTTGACAAAGTCACACTTCAGGCCAAAAAAATTGAGGTTTGACACTTTAGGTGCGAATTTTTACAACCTCAGTCTTGTATATCTTAATTGTATTCTAAAGTGGATAAATTTATATTTAAAAAAAATTAACTTCAGTTATATGTTAAATAGTGACCCCAAAACTGGGTATTTTTGCACTTTCCTCCTATTTTTATAGTTGTATACGGTAAAATGGAAGGGTCCAATTTTCCGTCATTACGATGCTTCGCAAGCACGTTTTCAAAGGCTCGAGGCTATGGTCGAGGTTCAACCCCGAGGGGCTATCGACGCCCAACCTCGGGGCAGTATAGATTGGCGTTTATGGTGAAAAAGTGGGAAGTTTCCAAGGCTCGTAGCTAGAGCTGACGAAGTCTGTCAGGCTAGTCTAAGCCTGCATCATGGTTTTAACTGGCTCTACCTGCCCCATATCTTTGTAATAAATGCATTTGTACTATGTTGGGATACCCCATCATATATAAAGGGGATCCTTGTCATTTTGTAGATCATCTGATGCTCAATATTAAATACACAAGAACATTCTCTCTACTCTCTAACATATTCTCTTGATCTCATTACCTCCATTTATTGCTTATATTCATTGTGTTCTATTTATTGTTCATCATTTATTGCTTATCATTGATCATAAAGAGCCATCATCGCAGCTCTCATAACTGTCCTCTCTCGGTCGCTCTAAGTCGACCACCCAACTCGACTTCGAGGCCTCATATACGACAACTCGAGGCCCCGATCTCTAGCCGTTTGGTTCAATTATCATATCGCCGCTAAGCTATAATCTTGCTTTCTAATCTTTTACTTACAATCCATTGCCTAACAACTAGCATAAAAATAGATCACGTATTTTTAGAACCATAAAATCAAATTTAATTGTTATTACCATTTTCACGGTAAACAGTTTGGCGTCCACCGTGAGGCTAAAAATAATAGTTATTATTTTCTTGCTGGTTTAACTACATAACGCAGGTTACCTTTCATACTTTTTCTTGTCCAAGATCTTTGATTTCAGGTCAAAATGTCTAACTCAGTAAACAACAATCTTGAGGACCATGGAGAGAATAGTGTGGATGTTCCAGGTGTTGGTGTACCACCACGAAACCCTGAGAATGCACCAGAACCAATTCCCTTGGACGCGGTCTCACGCGATGCCCAACATGTCGATATAAACTCCCATACTAACAAGAGCGTACATCAAGGAGATCAACAAGAAGTCCAAAAACCCTCAGCTCGGAAGGAACAAGAGGTCAGCCTTCACGTTATTTTTGACATGTTGCAAGCACAACAACTGGCAATCACTCAACTGCAGAGCCACCAAAAAACCCCAAGTACAATAGCCCTGGGAACAACCTCTCGGACCGAATAAGCACCAGAAATATCAAGCAACGACGGGTCGACAGCCTACCCCACCATCGTAAAGATGCTCGAGGACCTCACAAAGAGGATCGAGTTGGGAGAGAAAAAGATAGAAGCCAACGACAAGAAGGTCGAGACCTACAATTCCAGGATCGACCAAATTCTAGGCGCACCCCCAATCCTGAAAGGTGTGGATTCAAAGAAGTTCGTATAGAAGCCGTTCCCACAGGAAGCGTTTCCAAAACCCATTCCAAAGAAGTTCAGAATGCCAAACCTTCCAAAGTACAATGGAACCTCGGACGCCAATGAACACGTCACTGCTTACACTTGTGCAGTGAAGGGCAACGACCTAAAGGACGACGAGATTGAATCCGTCCTATTGAAAAAGTTCGGTGAAATGCTTTCACGAGGGGAAACTATGTCATATCACAACCTGGACCCAAACTCGATAGATTCATTTGCCATACTAGAATATTCTTTCATAAAGGCACATGCTGGTGCCATCAAAGTAACAACAAGGAAATCCGACTTCTTCAAGATCAAGCAGAGGATGAATGAGATGTTGCGAGAGTTCGTATCTATCTTTCAAATGGAACGAATGGAACTACCACCAGTTTCCGACGACTGGGCAGTGCAGGCCTTCACTCAAGGTTTGAACAAACGAAGCTTGGTGGCTTCGAACCAGCTGAAGTAGAATTTGGTTGAATACCCTGCCGTGACTTGGTCAGACATCCACAACTGATATCAATCGAAAATCAGGGTCGAGGATGACCAATTAGGAGCCCCCTCGGGCTCGGTATACCCAAGCAGGATTCTGGCGAAGGAGCCAAAACCAAACAAAGAAAGGTACCAGCCATACACCGAAGACAGGAAAAATGCCCCGAGGCATAACATACCCCTGAATGATCGAAGAACGGACCGTGGACAGAACCCTTGGGGATTCGTCAGCAGATCCGGGTTCGATAGGCACGTAGGGCCGACGGAGGCACCCCACTTGTCGGAATACAACTCCAACGTTGATATTTCAGATATCGTGTTTGCCATCAGTAAAATCAAAGACACTAGGTGGCCAAGGCCTGTACAATCAGATCCTTCACAAAGGAACCATAACTTAGTTTGTGAATTTCACAACACACACGGTCACAGGACCGAAGATTGTTAGCAACTCCGGGAAGAGGTAGCTCGACTACTCAGCAAAGGTCACCTCCGAGAATTCCTCAGCGATCGAGCAGAAAATCAGTTTCGGGAAAGAGAGGCGACCAAGAAGAACGAAGCAGATGAGCTGCAACATGTTATCCACATGATCATGGGAGGGGTCAACATCCTACAAGAACCCACTATCAGAAGAACGAAAATATCCATTAGTAGAGAAAAGCGAACTCGAGGTTACATACCCGAGGACGCCCTCACATTCAGCGACGAGGACATCGAGACCTTATCTCATCCTTACAATGATGCACTGGTAATTTCTTTCCTTGTGAATACATTTCAAGTTAAATGTGTGCTTGTGGATCCAGGTAGCTCGACCAACATCATAAGGTCAAGGGTCGTGGAGCAACTCGAACTGCTCAGCTAGATCGTGCCCGCCTCTCGAGCCCTTGACGGATTCAATATGGCAAGTGAGACAACTAAAGGGGAGATCACCCTCCTAGTCAATATAACTGGCACTATCCAAAATGCCAAATTCCATGTTATCGAAGGAGACATGAGATACAACGCTTTGCTCGGAAGGCCATGGATACACTGCATGAGAGTAGTACCATCAACCCTTTATCAAATGATGAAGTTTGTGACAAAGGATGAAATAAAAACCGTGTATGGGGACAACATGCAGCAAGTGAGATGTTCGCAGTCCATGACGTGGTGCCGGCACCGACGCCTTCGGCACTGAAGAAACCGTAGGAAAAATAAACAGTGAAATAGCAACCACGAGACACATTCTCGGCTATACCCAAATGAAAAATAAAGGACTGTACCGTGTCCTCAGAGCAAATACTAAAGGCCTACCGAGGCTCAAAGCACCATTGCCACTAAGGTATAACCATCTCCCTTTTCAATTTACACTTCACACTAACCTTCATGTAGGTGTCTGGATGAGACAATCGAAGCGCTAATCCAGCTCGAAGACCTTAAGGTTTCAAAGCATACGTTGCACTCTTTTCCTTCGACCAGGTTTTTATCCCGAAAAGGATTTTACCGGCAAGGTTTTTAACGAGGCAACATTATATGCTACCTAAGGAAAACTCAACAAGTATTCAATGCTTTTTTAACAATCAACCTCGAATACTAGGGGGCATCCCCCTCGAAGGTTACCAACTTGGAGAAGCCAAGATGCGCTAAATGGGGTCTCGATAGGAAAATAATGTACCGAGCCAAATGGTCGAACGAACCATGTTCGTATAGAATAACTGAGCCCTTAATAGCTAAGATATGTATACTTGTACCAAGTAATCAAAGAATACTTTCCCAAAGCATTTTGCATTTCAAAGATGCCTGGTATTTTCGCAAAAGCGGTTCCTCTGTCAAAAATATCCCGAACACTCGGGGACTGGCGTCAACAATTTGGGACAATGCGACCCCCGGGTCGGAGCTTCAAACTCGTAAGCCCTTAACGAGGCAACATCAAGATCACAAAACAGATCCAGAGCCAAAAAGTTTCGAACACCCAGGGACTAGCGTCGAAAACTCAAGGCCACATGACCTCCGGGTCGGAAACCCTAAAATCATAAGCCCTCAATAAGGCAATATCAAGTTTACAAGTAATGGCTCCCGAGCCAAGAAACACTCAATGACTCGGGGACTGCCGCCACCCCCATCGACTTATCAAAACCCGAGGCCACAAGACCACATGCGAGCAACCTCGGTCTCGTAAGACCTATATAAGGTAATAACAATATCTGTAAAACCTCAAGCAAGGCTGAACCACACTTGTACCAAGTGACAATATTTGTAAGACCTCAAGCAAGGCATGAACCATACTTGTACCAAGTAGCCAAAACTGTAAGACCTCAAAGGCATGTAAAACTTGTAAGACCCTACTAAAGGCATAATCCCAATCTTAAAGTTAAGGCTATATATCGAACTTGTAAGACCCCTAAAACGGCATACCCTCGATATAAACACCGAAACTACTTCACTCGATGACTGAAAAGCTCCAGCCAAACACAAATGACTACGGTCACAAGGCTGTACCAGCCAAACTAACGCTACTCGGGGATGCCCGACCGTCGCTATAAAATCATAGGCCTCCAATTACTTCGAAAATACTTTGAAAAGAATTAGTTAAACATGCTACCCTCTACATAGGCAAAAGGGCTTCGACCATGTCAGCTCCAAACTATAGGCTTCGAGATACTCAGCTGCCGAGCTAAACCTCCCGAGG